CTGGATCAAGGCCTCCCTCCACCTTCTCCATCCTGCTCCTCTGTCCCCAGGCCTGCTGAGGGCCACCAAGTAGACGGAGGCCACCAGGTAGATTGGGGCTACTTTGAGCTCAAGGTCTCCCACCACCAGAGGGCGTCACTTCCACCCTGAGCTCCTGACTCCCAGCCAATTATGCAGAACAGGGGTTCTCAACGCTGGCGGCACACTGAAGCCACCTGGAGAGCTTGGACAGGCTCCAATGCCAGGGTCATTCAGCGTGATTGCTCTGGGGATGACCTGGGCATCAGGATTTTCAAGGCTCCCCAGATGTACAGGGGATTACCACTCAGCAGTGGAAAGAAACAAACCACTGCCACATGCCACAGCATGATGGGCCTCAAACACTGCACTAAGTGAAAGAAGCCAGACGCAGAAGACTGCGTGTTCTTTAATCCCATTTATAGGAAATTTCCAGAAAAGGTAAAACTATTCCTGGGGCTGGGGGGTGGAACTGACTACAAATGGGCACATGGGAGTTTTTAGAGTGATGAAGTGTTCTAAAACTGGATTGTGGCGATGGTTGCACAAATACATACTTCTTTTTTTTTTTGAGACAGGGTCTCACTGTCTCCCAAAAAGTGTGCAGTAGTGCAATCATAGCTCACTGCAGCCTTGAACTCCTGGGCTCAAGCCTCTCAGGTAGCTGGAACTATAGGTGCGCACCCTCATGCCCAGCTAATTTTTTGTATTCTTTTTGTAGAGACAGGGTTTTGTCATGTTGTCCAGGCTGGTCTCGAACTCCTGGGCTCAAGCAATCCTCCCGCTGTGGCTTCCCAAACTGATGGAATTATAGGCATGAGCCACCACACCTGGCCAACATAAAAAATTTATAAAAAATAATTGAATTGTATATTAACAACAGATGAACTGTATGATATGTAAATTATATCTCAGTAAGGGTATTAAAAATGAAGAAAAGGAAACGGAAGAAAATCCAAAAATGCACATTTTATTTTGTATTAAAAACAAAATTTCCCTGGTGATTCTAGCAAGGAGCCAGAGTTGAGAACTCAATGTAGGAAGCCTCACCACTCACCCCCAGCCAGTGTCATTGATCTCTGGTCCTCCACAGCACAGGGCCTATCACAGACCATGGCACATAGGAGGCCACACTGATTTTTTGAGTGAACGGACATGCATTCCCAGTTTGCCCCATGAATCCCTGGAGAAACAAATGGCTATTTAGTGAGCACCTACTATGCACAGATCTTTCATTTCTGTTTTCTCACGTAACCATCTCATCTTCAGTACCGGCGAGGTAGGATAAATAGTCCCATTTTACACAAGGGAAAACTGGATCTCTACGAGGACTAGGATCTCACAGTCATCACTTAGCAAATCTGGACTCAGAGATCAGCCCATCTGGTACCAAGTCCTCCTTCTTTGGTTTCATTTACATCTTTCATCCAGAGGGAGCATGGCAGAGCAAGTTGAAACTTTCCAGCCACCAATTCTCTCCATGGAAACCTGGTCCCAGCAGCAGCTCTAGATCTGATACATCCTAGGATCAGCATGGGAAAGTGAATTGCCTGGGGTCACACAGCCATGCTTGGCCAAAGTGGGCCTAGAGATCAGTACCTCGGACCCAAGTCCTGAGCAGCCTCTGGGTTACCATGCATTTACCTTGAATCTGAGGGGCTGGGGGTTCTCACAGGAGCAGCTGGTCCCTAGGTAGGATGGCCCTCAGCCCTCTATCCCCTCCACCGTCCCAATGCCACAATAATAAGCTCCGTGGGAGTAAAGCCCCTCCACCACCCCCTCCGACTTCAGGATTGCTTTCACTTGACATTCCTTCCAGTGCACCAGTCCGGAACAGAAGTGCTTGACGCTGCTGATCGACCAGTTTCATAAAAGGAATCCAGTTTCCTTTGCACTCATGAAAAGCTGTTAGCCCCTGGCAAGTTTCCAGGGCCTGCACTCCAGTGATGCAGCCCAGACATTGAGAGAGGGATGCCAAAGCCCTTGGGCACAGAGAGGAGTCAGCTGGGCTGAGAGATTTAAATCAAGAGGGGTCCTTGCCAGCAATACCAGCAAGCAGCATCCTGTCCTCGGGAAGAGAGGTTTCCCACTGAGATGCCCTGAAACCCTGGCTGAGGGCCCCGACACGGCTGTGCAAGGGGAAAGATGTGCTACCCAACAGTCAAGACCTGAGATTACCCAGTGAGGACCATGTAGCGAGGACACACAACAGCCCGACGGTACAGCTTCCAGCCCTGCCTGGGCTCTTTACCAGCATGTGCCCTGGGGCAAGAGGCCTCCCACCCTCTGCAAACCTCAGTTTCCCCATCTGTAAAATGGGAACCATCACTCCTCCTTACAGGGTGGCTGTCTGTGAGAGTTTTTGGGAATCTATAAGGCACCCAACCAATGTCAAGGCCCACAATTTACCCTCTTTAGACCCAGTCTGGTGGGAATTTCAAACCTCTTGAGGCTGCCGGCAGGTAGTTCCCATGCAATTCCGGGAAGCTAGAGAAGAAAAGAAGGAGCAATGGGAAGTCTGAACTGAGGGGTTCAGGACCCCAAAATTTAGTCCTGACTTTTCTGTGAACAATCTTTCATGACTTCAGAGGTGCCTTGACACCTTGAACTTTGTCCCCTTCCCTCTCTGGGCCTTCGTTTCTCCTCTACAAAATGAAGAGGGTAGGAGATATGTCTCTAAGGGTCCTTCAGACTCTGACAGCCAAACATGCTATTAGAAAAAATCAGGTCTGGCCGGGCACGGTGGCTCATGCCTGTAATCCCAGCACTTTGGGAGGCCGAGGTGGGCAGTTCAAGAGGTCAAGAGATCTAGACCATCCTAGCCAATATGGTGAAACCCCGTCTCTACTAAAAATACACAAATTAGCTGAGTGTGGTGGCACGTGCCTGTAGTCCCAGCTACTCGGGAGGCTGAGGTAGGAGAATCACTTAAACCCAGGAGGTGGAGGTTGCAGTGAGCCGAGATCACGCCAGTGCACTCCAGCCTGGCGACAGAGCGACACTTTGTCTCAAAAAAAAAAAAAAAAAAAAAAAAAGAAAGAAAAGGAAAGAAAGAAAAAAAGAAAAAGAAAAAAGCAGATTTCTCCAAATCCTGGCAAAGTCCATTGTTAATGGGGCCATGGGATGAGTCCTTCCTATCCTCCACCATCCACCTGTTTCACTCTCATTTTAGAACATTTCTCGCTTCTCTATGAAGGCGGCCTTTCAGCAAAAACCTCTTTAGCGTTTGGCAATGAGTCACTCCCGCTGGAGGTCAAGTTCCCTTTGTGCCTCCTCCGAGGGGCTGAGAAACAGAGAGGTGGGAAGGTGAGGAGCAGTCTTGCCTGGGAAAAGCTTGCCTTGTTTGGATACCCACAGACAGTGGGGCCAAACACTTCCACTTTTCAAGCACCTCCAGAAACAACCCTCTCTGTGTATGAACTTTACAGTTTACAAAGCTCTTTCAAATCCATTACTCATTGGATTTTGGCAGAAGCCCTGCAGGGAGGCATGCAAGAGGTTATTGTCCCCATTTTACAGGTGAGGAATCGGAGCTCAGAGAAGTGAGGTAACTTCTCCAAGGTCACACAGCCAATGTATGAAGTGGTCTCTCTTTCCCATGGAAGAGACAGGGGGCAAGAACCTCAGAAGGTAAGTGCAGAGCTGGAGTGGAAACCAGGTCTGCTGATTACCAGCCCTGCTCTGCTCCCAACTTTCTTGCCACCCTGCCTGGCCTTTCCCCATTGCCAGGCTGGTAAAGAGGCTGTGTGTCTCCTCTCACCGCTCCCGCTGAGGTCTGTCTAGACCCCTGACTCACACATGGAAATTCTCCGCACAGCTAAAGTTTGTTTCTCTTGGGCTGCTAAGAACACTTGGTTTGTCTTGTGTTTTTGGAGGCGCCAAGTATCAAAAGCACGCATGGGAACAGAAAGGAAAGTGGGAGGCACAAAGCAAATGGGAAAAGAGACAGGTCATTTTGTACTCATCTGAGTGAGGCTAATGTTTCAAATATTTGCTAATATCCACTGTTAGTAAGGATATGTGAAAATGGGAATTTTCAAATGCTGTTGGTGGGACTAGAAATTAGAACTGCCTTTTTGGAGGTCCGTCCCTCTCAAAATTTTAAATGGCCCAGCAATTCCACTTCTAGAAGTCTACTGCCGAGACGCACACCTAGGCATGAGAGTATGGCTGTGCCATTGAAAAGTGGTCAACGTTCAGAGGGGCTGGCTCAGTAAGTTACGATACACCCATCTGACAGAACACCAGGTCCCTTTAAACCATGAGGTTAATCAAGGCTTCTAAGATCTGTTGTAAAGTGAAAAAAGAATATACATGGTATGAAGTCATTTGGCTTTAAAACAAATACACTGAAAAAGTTCTAGGCAGATGAACCCCAAAGTGAAAGCCGGAGTTAACTTTCAGAGAGAAAGCATGATTTAGGTGGCTTGGGGCAAAGCAACACGTTTACATTTTTCCTACCTCTATTTTGGCTTTTTTTTTTTCCACCACAAAACACATACACAAAACAAAAAAATCACCTACCATGTATTAAGGTGTGTTTGTAAGTCATTTAGAACAAACAAAACTCTACCCCATCCAAGAAGACATTGGCATCTTCGGTCCAAGCCAGCCCTTCCCCCAAACTCTCCTCACAGGTGAACACCCCCTGGTGGAACTCTGTGATCTTAGATGGTCATGACAGCATCAATAACAATGACAAGCCCACAGGGGCACTGAGGGAATAAGCCACACGATGTAGCCAAGAAAAAGAATGACAGGGAAGGTCCACTCCTGATGATGGTTTCCACCAGTCCCATGCACAGTGAAATTCCTCAGCTACCAGCTCTATTTTGTCAACGGTGAAACAGCTTTGATCGCACTAACCAACACTTGCTTAAAAGCCCTGTGACAGTACCCATCCCTGACTAAGCCACATTGCCTCTTGCTAGATGACAGCAGCAAGCAGTAAGGGAGGCCGTGTCCACACGAGCCGAGCGTACCTCAGAGAACCTCTGAACGTCTTGCGTCAGCGTGCCCACGCGCTTCCACTGGTAGTGCTTGAGCAACTTCAGAATGGCTGGATTCACCGCGTTGTCTGATGGGACGGTCCGAAAGAAATAAGGGTATTTTTTCTTATCGGCTAGAACAGGCGTGGTTGCAGCAAAAGAAAGCTGAAAGACACAAAAGAGACAATACTTCTTACTGATGAGCCTCGCAGCTGTGACCCAGCGTCTTTCCTACTGGAATAGAGACTGTTAGTTTCAACTTGGAGCATAAACACATGGGGACAGATATTTTTAAAACTTTTTTATTGTAAGAGTAACATACCATAATGGAAGGGAAGGATTAAAAATGCAAAATAAGAAGAAAGAAGGGAAAAAATAGCCAATGATCTACCCTTCCCTAAAGAACCATCATTCATGTTATCGTCTATTCCTTCCCAGTCCTTTTTCTATGCACTGTGATTGGATTTTTAAAAAAGATCCTGAAATCATTCTACATGCACAATTGAACTGTTTTTCCCCATTTACCAGTATCCTTAAAAACTCTTTGCAAACATTATAATAGCTGCACAATATTCCAGCATATGAATATACCATAATTTACTGAATCGTTTCTAATTTGGGGTTATTTCTATTATTTCTAATTTGTCATTATCATCATATTATTCTACAGGCATCTTTGTACATAGCATTTTTCGTTCTATATTTTGGGATGTTTCCGTAAGATAGAATCTGTGATGTAAAATTTCCCAGATAAAGAATATGAGTCTTTAAAGATTTATACTTATTTCCAAAAAATATTTTATCAGTTTGCAAATTTACTAGCCAAGAATGATTAGAGGGCCAATCTCACCATATCTTTGCCAACAGAGGGAGTAAAAAATGTTATTCTAATTTTATAATGATTTATCACCAAATAAAACCCTGAATCATATCGCATTCATGATTATAGATAATGCTGAACTTTTTCCTATGGTTATTAACTAGTAGCATATCCTATTTTAGCAATTACTTTTTCATGTCCTTTGTTTATTTTTTGAGTGGTATTCTAATGCTTTTCTGATTGAATTTAATGAAGATATTTTATATGTATAGCATTCAAACTCAGGCTATTATAGTTGTTGCAAATATCTCAGTTTGTGTTTGCCTTTACATTTTATGTGTGTGTATTTTAATTTACACTTGGTAGTCAAAGCTGTCCATCGATCTCTTTATTATTTCTTCTTTTTCTTTTAAGTGCCAGTTAAGTTGTTAAATTGGATTTTAATTGTCTGTCCCTGAAGGCCCAACCTAAATGTCACCTCTTCCATAACACTTCCTCTGATCTCTGTTCCTTCCCTTAGCCTGAGCCACAGAAGGTAGTTATCATAGTTTTTGATCTTTGCAGTATGATGGTGAAAAGATGGTATCTTGTTATAGTTCTAATTTGCATTTTTCTTAGTATGAATGAGGTTGAGTATTTCTTCTACTTTTTAAAATTTTATTTATTATTTAGAGACAGGGTCCATTCTGCTGCCCAGACTGGAGTACAGTGGTGCTATCATAGCTCACTGCAGCCTGGAACTCCTGGGTTCCGGCGATCCCCACCTGCCTCAGTCTCCGGAGTAGCTAGGACTATAGGGGTATGCCTCTATGCCTAGCTAATTTAAAAATCTTTTTAGAGAAGGGGTCTATGTTGCCTAGTCTGGTTTTGAACCCCTGGGCTCAAGCCTCTGGCCTCAGTCTCCTGAGTCGCTATGACTACAGGCGTGCCATCGCACCCAGCTTCTTCCTATGTGTAAAAGTAATGGTAGTTCCTTTCTGGAAACAGTTTACATTTTTTGCTTGTTTTCTAATTTGACTTGTAGTCTTCCTTATCAGTTTATAGAAATGATCTTTTATATTAAGAAAACTAACCCTTTATAAGTTGCTAATTTTTCTCCCAGTTTGTACTTTGTTTCTTGATGTTGTTTATAGTGCCATTTCCATGTAGACATGTTTTTTTTAATGAGGATGAATTTATCAGTTTTTTTCCTTTATGACTTCAAGTTTTGTGTCATATTTAAGAAAGGCCTCTCTTACTCTGAGATTATAAAATAATTTCTCCATGGTTTCTTCTAGTCTGTCTGTCCTTCCTTCCTCCCTCCCTCCCTCCTTCTCTTCTTTTAAAAAAGGTTTCATTCAAACCTTTGACCCAGAGAGAGCAAGGATGAAGCAAGCTCAGTCTTTGCTGCCACCAGCCATCTCCCCGAACCCTTGCTTATCCCAGCAGGAGCTCTGGATTTGATACATCCTAGGGTCCAATTTCAGCATCCGGGGAAACGACATCTGGTACCTTCAGCCTCCAGCTGAAGTTGCTTTATTGCTTCTTCTGTCACCCTAGAACCACTTTCCCCTTACAAAAGTTTGTGGGGGGCAGTAGAGATTTGTTCCCTTCCATGTCTGGTTTAGAGGGTAGACAGCCACTATCTAGACTTGCTGGATCTGCTATCTATTGGAGCTGACCACACAACAGTAATTCAGCCATTACCTGAAGCTACAGAGCCCCTGTAGAAACCAACTTCTAAGATCCAACAAAGATAGAGACACCCCAAGACCGGTAAAGGTCAAGGGTAGAATGACTTTTGTCAATGTTCAAAGATTCTGGGTAGAAGAGGACTAATGAGAGAGAGAAATTTCAACTGGACACACTGAGGAACACTCACATTAGAGTTGTCTGGCCATGGAAAACCTGCCCTCAGAAGTAGTGAGATCCCTGTGTCTGGAGGTGTGCAAGCAGAGACTGGACCACAACCTAGTGAGAACAGAAGGGCTTCAAAGTGTCTGTGAATCTCCTAAAAACTGTAGGAAAGCATTTGCATGGCCATGTATGTGCAGACAGACATGCACATTTTTCTGAAAAAAAGAATCAGTGGCTTCCATCAGACTAACAAAGAAGATCATTCCAACCAAATCAAGGTCTGCGCACCTGCCTTCAGGTGACATTGAGGTCCCATAGTGAGTGCGGGAAATAGAAGCTCTCTACAGTCCCCTCAAACCTACTGTCTGTGATTCTTCTCACGAGATTAAAACAACACTGCAAGCCTCCTATGCTCACAAGTAGGGGAAGGAGGTATTAGAAAAACCTGGGAGCAACTATTTCAGGACAGGGACATCATATATACCACCACATCCCCCAAAATGCTTATCTAATACAATTTGGAAAATATTGGTTTTCTGATGTGATTTCTGAATCACACTCTGGTTGCTACTTTACCGTTATTGTCCCATTAGTTCCAGGTCCACAATTAATTGTTGCTTGAACAACCTCATATGTTTTCCCTGTGGGTAATTACCGTGGTTACTGTTCAGTGAATAAATGGCCCATTGTGTTTACGATAGGCTTGGAGTACAATATGTGCCCCGGGTCTAAATCATGTTGGGTGCAAAATATTAACTGGCGCTGACATTTTCTGCACCATTTGAGATAATGCACGCTTTGATTAGATTGCTTTGCGTCACTGTTCCTCTGGCTTTGGTCTCCTGAAACTTTCTTCCATGGGCAAAAACTGCAGGTGCCCAGTAGTACTGCTGGACTTCAGAACTAACAGACATCTGAGAAATCATCTAGCTCTGGGGTTCTCAGCACACTGGAGTTATCTGGGGAGGTTTTAAAGAATACTGATGACTTGGTCCCACTCCAAACTAACTGAATCAGAATCTCTGGGCATCTAGCCCAAGCATCAGTATTATTTAAAAATTTTCCAGGTGATTATGATGCTCAGTGAGGATTGAGGGCCACAGATGCAGTTCAACACCGCTGGTTTTGAATAAGCAGACTGCAGCCCCAAAATGTGATCTCAAAATTCCACTATAGCTAATAAGAGGTGGAAGCAGGACTTGAACCCGGGTCTACAGGACCATAACACTAGTGCACTTGCTCCCATGGATGACTACCTACCTGCCTCCTACATGCTCCCCAGGCCTTCTTCCCCTATCTCAGTCACCCAGCATCTGGCACCACCAGGGCTGTGAGCATTAGGGCCCTAACTTGGAGACCAAGCTTTCTGAGCTCTCCTGCCTTGTTTCGCATAACGAACAGATTGTGATTGAGGCTCTAAGTTAATTCCTAGCCAAGGATTTATTCGGAGAGTATTTTAAAATTTAATTTATAGTTTTGTTATAATTTCTAGTTTTATTGCATTATTTTGAGAATTTGGCAAGTGCAGTGTCTGCTTTTGGAATTTATTGAGATTTTCTTTGTGGCCTATTATACAATCAACTTCTGTACAAGTTCCATGGTGGCTGGAAAAAAGATGAAATCTCTAGTCATAAGCTATAGAATTCTTTATTAGACTACCTATGCATAATAGATATAACCAAACTAATTATATTATCATATGCTTTGTATTTTTGTTTACTTCATCTATCAAAGGCTGAGAAGTTTGTTAAATTTTTCTCTATTGTCTCTGACCATTTCTTCATGTATTTCAACTGTTTTTGCTTTATATGTGTTCCTTTTTTCTTGTTTTGGGCATAAATGTTCATCACAATTATATCTTCATTTTTCAGCAACGTATACTTTTGCCTAGTGCAAATAATAGGCACTTAATAGATATTCATTGAGCGAGTGAAGATTGAAATATTTATCAAGGTAAAATAAACCTCTTTGTCATTTTATTGCTTTTTGTTTGATACTGTATCTCGCTTGTTATTAATATGGCAACCCTTACTGTAATTTTGCTTGCATTTGCCTGTCACTTTTTTACCTCCTTTTATTCGTATTCTATTAAGATCATTTTTAAATACATATCTTGAAAAGAACATACGGACAGATTTTAAAATATGTATGTTTACTGCTGTAGTAAATACTTGGCCTTGGGGGGACACGCCCAAGATGGCCAAATAGGAACAGCTCCAGCCTCCAGCTCCCAGCATGAGTGACACAGAAGACGGGTGATTTCTGCATTTTCAACTGAGGTACCGGGTTTCATCTCACTGGGGAGTGCCGGGACAATTGGTGCTGGTCAGCTGGTGCAGCCCAACCAGGCAGAGCTGAAGCAGGGCAAGGCATCGCTTCACCTGGGAAGCACAAGGGGGAAGGGAATCCCTTTTCCTAGCCAGGGGAAACTGAGACACACAGCACCTGGAAAATCGGGTAACTCCCACCCTAATACTGCGCTTTACCAAGGGTCTTAGCAAACAGCACA